GAACTGAACTGAACTGAACTTCAAGACTACATACGGGACGCCGCAATTTTTATTTACGAAATGCACGACTCCGATTCAGAGGCTAGGGATTTTCGTATTTTTAGTGTTAAACGGCTATCATATTTCAAGATACCTCATGAATACAGGGTAATTTATTTTTCTATTATGGCGAATTCTGTAGGAGGGCAGATGTCGAAGCGTGGCTGAGTTTGAGAAGCTTAATCGAATTGGTGAAGGCACTTATGGCATCGTTTGTAAGTTCATTATGTTTCTTAGTCCGATGGAAATCAGATAGAGCTAAAGATGTCGCATCAAAGGAGGTTGTTGCGCTGAAAAAGGTTCGAATGGAAAATGTTAGAGACGGTAGGTCACGTGCTGCTCTCCAACCGAGAAATTTTTCAGGAATTCCTATCAGCAGTCTGCGTGAAATTACACTGCTTCTCAGTTTAAAGCATCCAAATATAGTGCATCTACGTGAAGTTGTTGTTGGAAGAGGACTGGATAGGTTAGTTCATTTTCGTTCTGACACGCCATCAGTATCTTTTTGGTCATGGAATACTGTGAACAAGATATGGCTAGTCTCTTAGACAATATGCCGAATCCTTTCACTGAGTCGCAGGTAGAACAAAATGAATAACTTTGAATTTTCTCGTACAGGTGAAGTGTATTATGTTGCAACTTTTCAAAGGACTGCGTTATCTGCACGAGAACTTCATCATTCATCGTGACCTGAAGGTTTCCAATCTTCTTATGACCGACAAAGGCCTCGTAAAAATAGGTATGTGTGCATCCTTTCGCTTTACTTCCTAAAAGCTGATTTTGGACTGTCCAGACCGACGCACTCCCACAACGCGATGACTCCATGTGTCGTAACATTGTGGTGAGTTCCATTCANCCATTCAGTTTATTCCCTTGATTGCCTAGAACCATTGTCAGCTTCCTCAGCTTAATGCGACCCCTCACCTGGAGAAATTTGTCTTTATTTATCAGCCTCTACGCTTAGTAATGCTCTCATCTTTTGAGTGACTCAATGAGCACTGATCTCACACGAGATCCATGGATGGAACGGATCTCACTGAAAAAATTGGGCGTCGTGCTCATAATTATTAAAGAAATGAGCTTGTCTTAGCCACAACCAACGAAAAAACTAACGCACAAGGTGTTATTGACAACGTTTCGCCCGTCTTGGAAGGCCTTTCTCAAACCACTAGATGTTGGTGGTGCAGTAGTTTACTCGCGGTCACAGGAGTGCTTTGGACCCTATGGTCCGAGGTTCGAACCCCGCCACCACCACCCAACCTAGATGGTGGGCAGGTTTGCTGTCGTCCGATTCAATACCACGCCCAACCTATCGGGGCCTTACGTGCTTCACCACTCCAACTCCCGGGGCTCAGGTTGCCGGTTTCCATCAATGAACAGCAGGTCCTCGTGACTATGGGGTTCACCCCGTCTGCTGTTCATCAAACGAAAGTGTGTAATAAAAATACTAAAATGTATCGTCGTACATTTAGTGGTAGTGCAGTGGTTTAGGCGTTTTCACCAGCGTGCTTCGAACCCTATAGTCCGAGTTTCAAACCTCGTCACCGCCACCCAACTTTGGTAATAGGCGGCTTTACTGTCATTCGGTTTAATACCACGCCTAACCTAGCGGGGCGTTATATAGTCCCGGGGCTTAGATTACCAGTTACCATCACTAACCAGTAGTTTTTCACAATTAAGGGGTTCATCTAGTCTGTTGTTCGTCAAAAAATGTGTTTAAAGAGTGTTACCAATGCAATTTCCCCATATCAAACACCGTGGCCCATAGATCACTTCAGCTCATCACGTTACAAGAATACCCAAAGAAGCAGTGAAATAGAAAGTACAAGGAAATAAAATAAGCATGTGACTACAAATTTTTCTGTCTTTATAGAGATACTCATGCTTAAATGCGATATACTGCCGACGGTGTAAACTCCATAGTCACGAGGACCGCCTGTTAACTCATGGGGACCAATAAAGTAAGCATCGGGACTCGGAGCGGTAAATCACAAGGCCACGCTAGATTAGGTACGGTACTAAGCCGGACNCTGCCAGAGTTGGATGGTGGTGGCTGGGTTCGAAATTCAAACCCTAGAGTCCAAAGTACCCCGGTGACAGCGACACAAGTCGCTAAGCTAACCATTAATAGTTATGCATTTGCTTTGATTTTATGTTAGGGTGGTGGTGGAGCAGTGGTTTAGTCGCTGTCACCGGCGTGCTCTGGACCCTATGGTC